AATTTCATTTATTTTAAAATAATTTTCTTTTAGAAATTTTAAATACGTACTTTATACTTATGTACACACATTTTTCCACCTTTTAAATCGCACAATCTTTTTTTATTCGCCACTAAGAAACGCCTTATCTGGCCAAACTCTCCATCTCGGCCACACCATGTCATATGGGTGATTATGTTCAGCTCACTTGCATTGCCAGCAAAGGCGATCTGCCAATTTTGTTCAATTGGTACTTGAACGAACAGCGTATAAACAGTGATTTAGCCACTTTGGCTAGTGTTGGCGAGCATACAAGCCTTTTGTTAATCAATAATGTCACTTCGGCGCATGCGGGTCGCTATACGTGCGAGGTCTCCAATGCGGCGGGCAGCGCGAATAAGACAGCGACGCTAACGGTGAACGGTAGGCAAGAAAGAAAGCGACTGAAATTTCAAATTTATAGCTCCTTCTTGAATTTTAAAAAATCACAATGCAATTTTTATTCAAAGATTCAAATTCTTAATTTGTAAAAAGCATTTTTCAAAAATTTATAAGCTTGTAAATCTTTTATTTTGTTAAACAAAAATTAAAAATGTTGCTTGATAAAAAGAAAAGTTTTCAATTTTTTTCTAAAGTTTTAATACTTTCTTGCTTTGAGTATAAGCTTAAANAGTAAATCTTTTATTTTGTTAAACAAAAATTAAAAATGTTGCTTGATAAAAAGAAAAGTTTTTAATTTTTTTCTAAAGTTTTAATACTTTCTTGCTTTGAGTATAAGCTTAAAATAGAAGATATTTCCAAATCTCGATACGAAATTACTCGAATAATTTCTAATCAATTCTTAATGGCATGAAAATTAAATTTGAAATGCGTTCAAAAATTTTTTTTTTAAACTGCACTTTTACGCTTTGTTTTTTGCCTGCGATGAACCGCAAGAACAAATTAGGGTTCAAGACTATTTTGAAAATGATTTTTTGTTTTTAGAAATTTTCAAAAATTGTGTACTGAAGTTTTTATACCTAAAAACTAGTGCATTATTATTGCTGGACTTTGAAAAAGGGGAAGAAGCGCAGAAATGCGTTGGGCTTGGCTTTTGAAAAAAAAAAACTTGCACAATTGTTTCTCAAACAAAAATGTTTTACATATCTTGAAAATTTTTCAAACCCATTTTCATGAAGACAATTTTTTTTAGTCAAGATTTATAACAGTTTTTTTTATTATTCGATTTTTAAAATTTTACAATTTTTTGTAACTTTTGCATTTAAAAACAAAAATCATGGAGAACATTATTTCATCGAAGAAATTAACATCGCAATTAAAAGGGCCGATTTTTTCGATTTTTTTTTTTTTTAATTTTTTATATTGTTTTTTTTTTTTTTTAACCAAGCTTAATGAAAGAAACTCTGAAAATCAGAGGTTTCAAGAAATCTATGGAACGTCGTCTTTAACTGCAACAACAAGTATGATTTTTGCTCTGATCAAAAAGTGTCTAAAAGCTTAAAAGTTTTGGATTCTGTAAATAATTTCGAAAAAGCGCACTTGACAGCGTCAGCGCAGGTGACAGTTTGTATAAATTTGCATAAACTAATCGCAAGCTACACAAAAAATTTAAATTTTTTTGTTGAAACATGAATGTTGTGGAAAAATGTATAACGAAAAATAATGGATTGGGCTTACAGCTATTGTAAAAAAAATTGTTAATACTTAATTCACAGTCAACAACTCATGTGTAAAAAGAAAAAAAAAATGGCAAAACAGCTCAGATTCGCAAAACAGCAAATAATATCACTTGCAGCACAAACACTTCACACATACACATAACTCAGCACATATGCACACGCGCATATAAAGGGCACTCAAAAGCACTTCTTTATTAAAAAAAAAGCTACACCAATACCAAATTTGTGAGAAAGAATGAACGAAATTTTATGTTTAACAAAAATCTGCGCATTACACCGGGCAATCACTGGCTATGGAAAAAATACTACAAATTGCTTCAGCGTTCTTATTTTTAATTTTATTAAATTTTTTCAAACTCATTTTGTTTTAATTCTGTGACTAAAGAATTTTTTATTTAATTTAATTTTTTTTTAACTGTTTTGTACTTTTTATATCAATGCATTTTAGTGCTAAANTTGACTAAAAAATTTTTTATTTAATTTAATTTTTTTTAACTGTTTTGTACTTTTTATATCAATGCATTTTAGTGCTAAATTTGGATTTTCTTTCGTTTTTAATTTTATTTTGTTGAGCTTAAAATAGCATTTTGCGCATACAAATAGTAATTATTACGAAAACTTGCCAATATGCATAAATAAAATAGCGAATTTTGTAAATGTGTGCAGCAAACAAATTTATATTTTTTTTTAATCAGAAAAAATCTAAACACGTCTTTCCTACTTTCGAAACCCCTCTTCGATCCTTGCTTACTAACAAAGATAAATATGTATGCGATAACATGCTTTTACATAACACACTGCTGTCTGCTACATGTTAAATAAATGTATGTTAATTAACAGAGAAGAAGAAGAACTAACAGACTATTTCGGTCTAAAAAAATGCTATTAATAGGTATATGGAATTTCTCTGGCGCAAAATTAACATAAATCTATTTAACTCCGTAAACTAACATGCGTACATAATATTTACATACATATGTAAATGCTGCTAACATCGTAACAAAATATCACAAACTACTGAAACAACTACACTCTGTAAAACTGCCCTTACATGGAAAGTGTTTTGTGTGGCTGCATATCATGAATGTAACACAAAATACTCTGGTATGTGGTGTTGTCAATATCAGCTTTGCTTCACTTGCCCGCACACACACAGTATGTACTATACTCGTATGTTTTCGTTGAATATGTAACTTAACAGAATGTACATACATACTACAGCAGCCGATCAACAGCATTACAATATTCAATTAACAGCTGTGTGCCATAATGTATTCTACACACCCATCACACAGCTTTTCTCCTGTTACGCGCTCATCATCCATTCTGATCACTAACTCGGTCGCTTCCACTCTTGCAGTCCTCCACCCTCACCCCAACTCCATCTCACTGGCCATCCGCACCCTAGAGAAATATCCTGTCTTTAATTAACTTTCATTTTCATTGAAAACTCATCAGTTTCGTATACAAAACGATTGGGGGTAAATTAAATATTTATCCTGCTGTTAATTGATGCTGTGAGGCTTTAAATAAATATAAATAAAAAAATAGAAAATTAAATTTTTTTTAGCAGTTTAAAAGCACAAATTAAGTAAAAAATAAAAAAAGCCAATCTTTCAATTTCTCATAAAATATTATCTGCCAGCTTCTCAGCATCACTTAGCACATCGTTTTACGCATGCTCTGTACAGTTTTTGAAACTTTATTTTTGATTAACATTTATTTTCAATTAATCCGCCAACATTTTGTTGTCCTTTTCACTTTCTGTTTGTATAAATGTAGCTTGTTGCTTTCTTGGGTTATATTTAGTTGTAAAATAACTTAATTTGCATAGCTTTTAAGCATCAGTATTTGCGGAAAATTTTGATGTTCGTGAGTGCTTAAAAACGATTATGATAAATGAAACAATTTTAAATAAAAATATCAAATGTTCAAATAACGGAATAAATATTGCATATAAAGATCTATTCAAAATACATAAAAAATCGTCACTAAGCAGCTAAAATAGGCCAGCTGAAAAACTATGTACCGCGTTTTATTATGTTGTTAAAGTTTGAAATTTCAAATTTTTATCAACTGACGCGCGGTCTGTATCCAGTCATTTCTATTAAGCACATAACTCCAGAAAACTTCCATCATTCGATTATAAAATACATATATGAGGGCTAAAATTAAGGGGCCAGATCATTTACGTCGTTTTTCAAAGATCGGGCTCTTTTCAATCGCACTTTAGTACCTTTAAAACCATATTCCAAATTATTTTCGTAGAACAAATATTCTAAGTATCTGATTCTTGAATTTTAGCTAAGCTAATTACTCTTGGTGTTACTTAAATGCAAAACGCAGAAGTTGTCGAGACGTGGAGAGATACCAGTTTGGCAAAATTCTTTTTTATATAATATTTATTATTTTTTATAAAAGCACAGCTCAATACCTAACAAAAATCGTATGAATTCATATTTTTAACTTTGTGCATAAATTATAAAAATTCTGCAAAGTTGCATCTAAATTCTCAACTTTTCAATCAGATTGTTTTAGAATTTTTGTGAGTATGTTGCTAAAAAATCGCGTTGATTTTTTGCAATTATTTTCCCCGCATTTTCNTTTTTAGAATTTTTGTGAGTATGCAGTTTTATAGCCCATTAAATTTTAGTACGATAATGTGAAGTTCTAAGTTGCTAAAAAATCGCGTTGATTTTTTGCAATTATTTTCCCCGCATTTTCCTTCTATACAAAGTATGTTCGACAATTGTTTTATGGAAAAAATACGTAAAAAACGCTTCTATAGTTTTGGCCAGTCGTCTTGTTAGTATATTTAAAAATAAATAACATTAATGGGTGCTTAAACCACATTTAAGACAAATCAGAAACAAAATTCAAAAACTCATCGAAACATCAAAATTTTCGTAAGTACAAAAAAGTGAAGTGAAGTGGTAAAAATAAACAATTTTAAATTTTTAAAAAATTATGTTTGTACGTAGTTTTCAAAACAAAAACTTTAAAAATCCTCATTTCATTATTCTAAAAAGCAATAAAAATTTATAAAAGTTATAAAAATTAGTTTTTTGAAAAGTTCATTATTTTTGTCTAAAATTAACCAAAAGAAGTAAAAATTGCAAACAGTTTTCATGATAAAAATATATCAATTGCTAAAAAATCACCACTTCACTTTATCTTCGTCTTCCGTCCGTCTGTTGAAAAAACATTTTTTAAACTCTACCGCATGCTTTATAAATGTATTTTTGCAATTAAGAAACTCGATGAAATAAGCTAATATATATTTTTTTCCCTCTCAATTCTTCATAATATCCACTTCGCTTTGGTTTGATTAAACCACAATAGTACCACCCAGATGGATACTCGAACCCACCGACAAGGCTTTCGCACAAGGTTCTGATGCTAAGGTCGAATGCAAAGCTGATGGCTTCCCCAAACCACAGGTCACTTGGAAGAAAGCTGTTGGTAAGTAAATGGAAATTAAAGCAGATATAATCAGTTACTCACTCACCACTTTCCATTGCCCACAGGCGACAGTCCCGGCGAATATAAGGATCTGAAGAAGAACGATAATATTCGTGTTGAAGAAGGCACACTGCATATCGACAATATCCAAAAGACAAACGAAGGCTACTATCTCTGTGAGGCTATTAATGGCATCGGTTCTGGTCTTTCAGCTGTTATAATGATCAGTGTTCAAGCACCACCAGAATTTACCGAGAAACTGCGCAATCAGACTGCACGTCGTGGCGAACCCGCTGTCTTGCAATGCGAAGCGAAGGGCGAAAAACCCATTGGCATTCTCTGGAATATGAATAATGTACGGTTGGATCCCAAGAATGACAACCGCTACACCATACGCGAGGAAATCCTCTCCACCGGCGTTATGTCTAGCCTCTCAATTAAACGCACTGAACGCTCTGACTCGGCACTCTTCACTTGCTTGGCCACCAATGCTTTTGGCTCGGATGATGCTAGCATTAATATGATTATACAGGAAGTGCCTGAGATGCCTTATGCTTTGAAGGTTTTAGACAAATCTGGCCGTTCTGTGCAGCTGAGCTGGGCGCAACCCTACGATGGCAATTCACCACTTATCCGGTATATTATTGAATTCAAACGCTCGCGTGCATCCTGGGATGAAGTGGACCGTGTTATGGTGCCTGGTCATACTACCGAAGCGCAAGTGCAGAAATTGAGCCCCGCCACCACCTACAACATACGCATTGTCGCCGAGAATGCGATTGGTACCTCGCAATCGTCGGAAGCTGTTACAATCATTACCGCCGAAGAAGCACCCTCTGGCAAGCCACAGAATATCAAAGTTGAACCCGTCAACCAGACTACACTGCGCGTCACCTGGAAACCACCAGCACGCTCTGAATGGAATGGTGAAATTTTGGGTTACTATGTTGGCTATAAACTATCGAATACCAATTCTTCATATGTTTTTGAGACTGTTAACTTTTTGACTGAAGAAGGCAAGGAACATAGCTTAGAATTGAATAACTTGCGCGTTTACACTCAATACTCGGTGGTGATCCAGGCATTCAACAAGATTGGCGCCGGTCCATTGAGCGATGAGGAGAAACAATTCACTGCCGAGGGCACACCTAGTCAACCACCAAGCGACACTGCCTGCACCACATTGACCTCGCAAACCATTCGCGTCAGCTGGGTGAGTCCACCACTGGAATCGGCTAATGGCGTAATTAAGACTTACAAGGTGGTGTATGCGCCCAGCGATGAATGGTATGGTGAGTATCAAGGGGGAAGTGGGCGAATGCCAATTATAAATATTTTAAAGCTACCAAGATAAGAGCGACATATTGACTTTTAGCAATAATTAAATTACATTGAAATTAATTGAAAACAGCTAATTTTTGTGTGATTCCGGGCCTATTATTTAGTAGATCTTCGAATAAGGCCTTTTTCATGTGAAACATTCTTGTTTTATATAATAATGGTGACAAAGATATCTTGTCGCTAAAGTTTCGATAATTTTATTAATATATCAATTGTTATCGATAAATATCGAAATTTATACTAGGTATATAGATTGCAGAATTGTTTTAATTGATAATTGATAGTTGATAACAGTATCTTATCGATAAACGTGTCGATAAAAATATATTTAAATAAATACATTAATAAATGTATCGATAAATCAACAATCATTGACAATTTTCACGTTTAGCTGCATTGTAATCCAGATAAATATGTAGTATGTATGTATGTATCTTGATAATAGTGCCAGCAAATCGAAAACGTTGTCGATAAATACGTTTATCGTCTATATGATGAAAAATAATTAAATTGAAGTGAGTAATTAATTCATTTAAAATAATTAAAATTTTCCACTCAAAGATGACACCAAACGTCACTACAAGAAGACTGCCTCCTCAGATACCGTTTTACATGGACTTAAGAAATTCACCAACTACACCATGCAAGTGCTCGCTACCACCGCTGGCGGCGATGGCGTACGCAGCGCACCCATACACTGTCAAACTGAACCTGATGGTAAGTAGAAATTCGTAAAATATTTCGAAAATACATTGCATTCAATTTATAATTTTCTCTTTTCACACCAGTCCCCGAAGCACCCACCGATGTTAAGGCCTTAGTCAAGGGTCAAGCTGCTATATTGGTTTCATGGCGCCCACCAGCACAACCCAATGGCATCATACAACAGTATACTGTATACTCAAAAGTCGAAGGTGCAGAAGGTGAACCCAAGAGCCAAAAGATACCACACTATCAAATGAGTTATGAAGCGACTGAATTGGAAAAGAATAAGCCATATGAATTCTGGGTCACCGCTAGCACTAATATCGGCGAGGGTCAACCTTCAAAGAGTATTGTAGCCATGCCCAGTGATCAAGTACCCGCTAAGATTGCTTCATTCGATGACACATTCACTGCCACTTTCAAGGAAGATGCAAAAATGCCCTGCTTGGCTGTAGGTGCGCCACAACCTGAGATTACCTGGAAGATTAAGGGCGTTGAATTCACCGGCAATGATCGTATGCGCGTTCTGCCCGATGGCTCACTATTGATAAAGTCAGTTAATCGTCAAGATGCTGGTGAATATTCATGCCATGCGGAAAATTCGATTGCAAAGGATTCAATTACACACAAATTGATTGTATTGGCACCACCACAATCGCCACAAGTTTCGCTATCGGCCACAACCACCGATTCATTGACTGTGAAATTGAAGCCACACGAGGGAGATACCGCACCATTGCATGGTTATACACTGCACTATAAGCCAGGTAAGTGCAAAGGGGGAAGGAAAGGTGATTAGGTTGGCGAAGTTAATTAAATTTAATTTCCGCACAGAATTTGGAGAATGGGAAACTGCCGAGGTGTCTGTGGATGCACAAAAATACACTATCGAAAATCTGCTCTGCGGCTCACGCTATCAAGTCTATGCTACCGGTTTCAACAAGTATGCAAAAGCATAGCGTAAAAAATATGTTTGCAATTTTTTCATTTGCTTTTCTTAACTTCTTTCCACAGCATCGGCGCTGGCGAAGCTTCAGACATACTGAATACCCGCACCAAAGGCTACAAACCCAAACTGCCAGAGAAGCAACGCTTCATTGAGGTTTCCTCCAACTCGGTTTCACTGCATTTCAAGGCCTGGAAAGATGGCGGCTGCCCTATGTCACACTTTGTTGTTGAGAACAAGAAGCGGTTGGTGTTGCTAACTTTAAGAAAAAACTAAGAAAAATAATTTTTTCTCTCCCTACATGTGCGGTACACATAATTTATACTCTATTTTTTCCTTTTAGCGATCAAACTGAATGGAATCAAATTTCGAACAATGTTAAGCCCGATAATAACTATGTTGTTTTGGATTTGGAACCCGCCACCTGGTATAACCTACGTATTACCGCTCATAATTCTGCCGGTTTTACTGTTGCCGAATATGATTTTGCCACACTGACTGTGACTGGAGGTATTTATTTTCAGTTTTCCAATTCGTTTTTGTATATTTGTAAATTTATACACACGCTATGTAGCTAATGATTGCCTTTACGAGCGCACATACGTAAATGCATAGATGCATATGTGCATAAGTATGTGTCTAATGTACATATGTATGTGAAAAACTCGTATGCAATTTCGCATTGCTTTTGTACATAAACAATACAACTACGGTAGAAGAGAGTGAAAATGCTGTGGATTTAAAAAATTTGGAACATATTAAAAATGCTGAAGTGAATAAGGAAAACACATGTACTTTGAAACGAATTGGTAGCCCATTAAATAATGTTTTGATTTCCGATTTTGTGTTTAGTATCTAGCAAAATGGCAAACGATTTTCATAAGAAATAAAAGATATTTAATATTTTTTTCAAGTTTCATTTTTCGTTTATTTTAATTTCTATTAAAGCTACCATATTTGGAAATACATTTGCAAATACTCCAAAAATGTTCGTATCTAAAAGAGTTTGAAGCCTACTGAATATTTGTTTTTTTATTATTTATTATTATGAGCAAAATTTTAAACGATTTTCGGAAAAAGAAAAAGTATCTAAATTTTTAAGCAAATTTAAATTTATATTAAAAATCCTTATAGATATTAAAAAAAAAAAAATGGCAGCCAACTAATAATTTTTTTTAAACGTGTGAAATGTAAACTATGTTTTTTTTTTTGAAATTTAAGCTTTTGTAAGTTAAAAAAATATACAGCATTTTCTCTCCTATACAAATAACAAAACGAAAAAACCACACGAGTTTGTTGTGGATATACATTTTGTAGAAAAAAAGTTATTGCTAGTTGATGAAAGCACCGAATGCTTATTTTGTTGCAACTCGTCTGCCAATGCAAGATTTTCTTTAAAAAAATGCTAAAAAGAATGAACCCACAAAAATCACCTCGAAAAATGCAAAGTTGAATTTTGTAAATTTTTGCTTTTTATGCCAAATTCTAAATATGTTTGCATTGTAAAATACAATTTTAATTTCGTACCCACGAAGCACTCGAATGTGAAAATATTTTGATTTTGTAAAATATTTCAAAACGCCTTTGTTTTAGCCAAATATTTAGTTTTTTGTCTTGTAAAATTGTTTTGCTTAAAAAATTTGTTTGTTTTTGTTTATAAAGATTTTTTCTTTCTTTGCAAGCATTTTTTATTGTTTAGCAATATTTTTAATGTAAATGCTCTGCAATTTATCATTTTATTTAGTTTTTCTGTTCGATATGGTAATGCAATGTAGAAAACTACCGAAAATATTTCGTTGGACCGAAAATTGCTAGTAATCGTAAATATTTATATTTTTATAATTTTTATTGCGTAAATGCAATTTTTTTTTAACCCCCGAATTCACCAACCACACCAAATCACCTTAAATTATGTAAATTAAATAAAAAATTTTAAAAATACTTTGTTTTAGAAAACCACAACCACTGCCACCTCTACATTAAATGAGAGTTTATCATAATGAAAATAATTTAAACGTAACGTATCCGAATTTAAATGCTTTAAATTTTGGTTTTATTTACCTTTATTTTGCTCAATGGTATTCTTGAACCTCATTTCATGCTAGTTTATGTTCATTTGATTTTTTTAATTTTCATGTATGAAAAACAGAAATCCAAAAGAATCTTATGTTTTGTTGTTTGCCAAATGAAGTAAAATGTATAAAATGCCAGCATCAAATGTACATATGTCCTATTCATACGTCGTGTGTTGCAAGCAAATAATCTTACGAAATTCTTGCCAGATTTTTGTAAACAAAAGCTACGAATTCTCCTATTTTTGAAGCACCAATTTAAAATTTTGACTGCAAAATATGACACCTAAATAAACTGAATGAACCTAAATGACAACCCAAAATAATACACTGGCGGTGGTTAGGCCAATTTTCTATCTCGGTATGGTGGAACACCCTTGGAAAAGGGGTAAACTTAAAAAAAAAATGGACAAGGTTCAAAGGCTTGCGTCCACACTCATAACTGGTGCGATGAGAACAACACCATCCAAGGCACTGTATGCCCTACTGAATTTTCTTCCGGTGGACCTACATGCCAAACAAGTCGCAAGTGGCGCGGCAATTCGAATGAACATTCTAAATAAGTGATCAAATACCAGTTATGGTCACGGTAGAATATTAACGGAGTTTCCGGGGCTACCCGGATTGGTGGACTATGCACTTCCGGAACCTGCACCCGCTACAGCGTTCGCGACCCTCCCAACCTCAAGGGAAGAGTGGAAGCATGACGTTGTAAGTAGTGGAGAGTCCATCCATGTATACACAGATGGCTCAAAGCTCGAGGGAAGGGTTGGAGGAGGTGTATATTCCCATCACCTGGGAATCTCCCTCAGCTTTCGTCTCCCGGACCACTGTAGCGTTTTTCAGGCTGAACTGATGGCAATCGACAGGGCCACGAAACTGGTAAAGTGTGATATGATACCCCAAGTTGATATATATATCTTCACTGACAGCCAGGCGGCAATAAAGTCCCTCACGAAGCAGTCCACAACCTCCATGGTAGCCATGAAATGCCGCGCATCTCTTAACGAGATGGCTGAGTCATTTCGCCCAAAGGTAATATGGGTTCCGGGACACTGCGGCATAGAGGGGAATTGTTAGGCCGACGAACTGGCGCGACTTGGCACGAAACTTCCTTTTGAGGATATAAATGACGAAATAGGAATACCCTTGCAAACTTGTAAGCTACTTATCTCCGAGAGGCTCACTAAAGTAGCGAACGAAAGGTGGCAGGACGAAATCACCTGCAAAACTGCCAAACAATTATGGCCGGTGCTCAGCGCCAAACGCACTGGCCTACTACTGAGTCTAAATAAGTCCAATATTAGATTATTAGTATCCGTCATAACAGGACACTGCCTAATTGGCAAGCACGCCTATCGACTTGGCCTACGCTCACATGACTTCTGTAGAAGTTGTCAAGATGAAGAAGAGGAGGAAACGATTCTGCACCTGTTGTGCCAATGCCCTGCTCTATCCAGACGAAGACTCTCCACTCTCGGTAGGCAATTCTTCGACAATTTGGAGGACCTTAGATGCGTCGAAATCAGGGAACTTCTAAAATTCGTTCAAAGTTCAAAATGGTTTTAGGAGGGATTGGGAGTTGCTGACCCAACATGCGGCATCACAATGGGCCCTGAGTCTAAGTGTGTCTTATAGACGACCGCGACAACCTACCTACCTAATATGACACCTACTTTTGATTTGTGTGCATTTGCATCAGTATCCGGTTTCCTACAACGTACCTAACAAAAAAAAAATAAAAAATCTGAAAGTGTAGAATACTTCATTGTTTAGAGAGTTAGTAAATTTGCTGACACTGCCACTATGAATGTCGTTTATTGTCAGTGCTTACATCGTTGGGTACTACGCTTCGTAGTGGACTTTAAGTTCATTCATTCTTCTGAAACTTCTCACCCTTAGAAAAAAAATGTGCTCGAACACTATTCCAACAAAATATATCCCAATATTCCAAATCGTACATTTAATAATATAGGGGATTATTCCAAAATTTAAATTTTGTGGAAAACGCAATCAGAGTTTGATCTATTCATACAGTTGCTATACAAAAAGACGGGTGCAAGGGCACATATCTTCGAAATTTTTCCGAATTTTTTTCTGAAAACATGTTCCTTATTAAGCTTATTAATTGGATTTACTTCTCTACATTATTAAACGTGTGATGTGCCGTCATCAATATCCTTCTTTTTTTACAAAATTAAATTCAGTTAGCTCATCCAAAAGCTCGACTAGCTGTACTAACTTGCTATCCCCAAATTATTCACAAATACTAGTTTCTTGTTTTGTGGCCTCCAGTACCGTTGTCGTTGATATTAGTATATTAACAAAATCAAGGAATGTCACTTTCTATTCCACTACAATTTTGGTTTTAAATGCAATTTGAACTCGTAATGGAACAGCTTTATCTAAAAGCGAATATATTATTTACATAATTGTATTTGTTTTTGAACTATTTCCTTTGTCTTGTTTGCAGTAATGAATTCTTAAAATTGAAACACACTTTCGCTTGAATTGAGAATAGTTCACAAATTGCGTAATTCAGTTCGCGTGGAAACACATTATACGGCTAGCCTAAGTTTTAAAAGCTGTACCAAATGCTAATGACAACAAAACAAGATACATTTCGGAAAAGTACACTTCGCTTTTTGTATATTTTTTTGTTTTATTGAGTTCAAATATTTTTATGCATCCTTTATATTTTCCACAAACCCAAGCTCACGATTATATACACACATATTTACCCTAAACCTAAAATGCATTTTCAACATTCCGCCAAGAATGAAAGCATTTAGACATACTTTTCAGCTTTTCATATGCATAGTTAGTTCTGCTTTGTTTCTTAATTTTTTAATTTTATTTGGGTTCCAAGAATACTTTCAGTATTATTCGAATCGAATCGAAGAAAAAGAAGGGATTGTTAATACCTGCAACAACCAAAGTGCTGCTTCAACCTCCATTCCCCACGCATAGTACATGAGTGCCAAGATTAAATTATTTTTTTTTTTTTAAGAACTGAAGAAGAAAATTCGCTGCGTCTCTCTGAGTTTATTTCGTTTTTCAATTTGAATCTTTTTATATCGATTTACGTCAAATTTGAATTCGATTATAATTCAATTACGATTTAGTTTTACATACCACTACGTTCATAACTACATTTATTATGCATTAAAGCGTTACATGCATTTATACATACTTACATACATACATATCTATTAAATACATTGTCATTTGTGAAATAGTCATAAATTAATAACATGCATATTACAAATTACGCATAAAACTAAACTCATAAAAACTAATTAAACCGTTATTTAAATAATAAGTTAAATAAATATTCACTATTATACATATAGTACATATTTAGCCTAGCATATTGAAAACTTTTAATCAAGGAATGTTGTTCGAGTTTGCAAAGTTTAAAATTGAAATTAATTAAATTGAAGTTACTGCTGTTATTTGCTTTCATTTGAGATAGTTTTAATCTAATACATCTAGAAATTTATATAGCCAAACGATGGACGAAAACAAATTGCATTTAGTATTGATTAGTTTTTTTTTTAATATTGAATTTAATAGATTTAATATGAATGTGAGAGGTAAGTGAGTATTGATATGATTTGGGCAGTTTGATATATTTTGTGCGTTTTCTGAGAATTCGAACTCGATTTCGAAAATTCGAAGTCATATTCGAAATTCGAAGTCATGTTCGAAAATTCGAAATTTGTTAAATACAAAAACTCCCAAAATTGCACTGGGCTCTTAAAACCAAGGACCTTAAAAAACATTTGCCTACTACACTTTATGCTGTGCAATTTCAGCTAATGCCAAACTTTACTTAACCTCTCACTAAATATCATGTAATATAGAAATTTTGTAACATAAAATGTTCTCCATATTTTCTCTGGAAGCTTATGAAACACTAATTTTCAAGCTTTTCACGCTTGATTTTCTACTGCATATTCAAATACTTTACTTAAATGTAAACACCGTTAATTGATTTCCTCTAATTCTGCGTCACACATTTTAAACTCTCTACTCTTGTTAATTCAATTTCTTGTTTTTATTCACTTAATACATACACAAGCAAAAATTTCGAATTCAACTTTTGTATATTAACTCGTTAATGATGTGAAGGATACAACAACAACAACAAAAATCGAAACAAAACGTACAAAAGTAATGTTCGAAATCTGTATAATTTCGAAAAACGAAATAATCTACATTGCATTGACTAAACCCAGTAATGCCTAGAATTGGCCTCTCTTTTCTCTCTGTGTCTTCTTGTCTTTCTAATTTCGTTGGTGTACGCGTGTGTTTTGTGTGCTTCTTCTACATACTTTGGTTGTTACAGGAACAATTGCCCCTTCGCGCGAATTACCCGAACTAACCGCCGAGGATACGATACGCATCATACTTTCCAACTTAAATTTAATTGTACCGGTGGTAGCTGCTCTGCTCGTTATTATCATAGCGATAATTGTTATTTGTATTCTACGTAGCAAAGGCAATCATCACAAAGGTATCTACACAGAATTTTATTAATCGAATTTCTTTTTCGTTTTTTTCTTTCCATTTCTTTTACAACAATTTCCTACGCTCTCTGAAAAACTCGTATTTAATTGCGCTTAATATGTATCAACGAAACAAACATACATATCAAATCATCAACAAAACAACTTTTATCATCGTTCACATTTTGATTTCAATATTAATTCGACATACAAAAATATACAACATAAAAAAATCTTTTGTAAAAATGCATCCTTTCCCTACTACGAAAAACTATTCGAAAATTAAAATTATTAAATTGTTTAAATGTCTGGCTTGCTATAAATCAATATTAACGAAAAATGCGATCTTCGGAAATTCGAATATCGCGATTATGCATGCAATATTGTTGTAAAATAAAAACAAAATGCATAAAAAAAACTATAAAATAATCGGTTTGTATAAAAAAAAATATAATTCGAACATGAAAAATCTATATGAAAACTACTATAAAATCAGGCACCGTTGCACCACTCGACGATGGTCACGGTACAGGCAATTTGAACACACGCATACGCTTGCCCGCTTGGATGCCCGAATGGCTCGATTTGAATTTCATGGTGCCTCTAATAGCCACTGTCATTGTGGTAGCGGTGGGTATACTTGTTGTGTGTGTAGCGCTTTCCAGACGCCGTGCGGACGACTTGCGAGGCGGACAAAAGGATGTGTACTGTAGGTTTTTGCATTTTACTATGCTTGAGCGTACATAGCAGCGAGCTTTATTATTGCAATAATATGCATTTATTTATAACTAAATCTAAATTATCTTTATATTTAGCTTGTATGTATAAAAATTGTTGATTTTCGAGTTTTATTTCTGTTTTGAAAAAGAAAGATATCGCATCGGTTTTCAAAAGAAACTAATTTTTAACACAATTTTTTCAAAATGGTGCTTGACATATACTAGTCGCTCTCAAAATCGGTAACTTGGCACACATTTTTCTATAAACTATTGGCCTGATTCATAAAAAATAAAATATATTTAAAGAGCTTTATAAAGTGTCATTTTCATAAAATTTTCGGTTTATAAAACAGTTAAGATCTTCTTTATTTTTATGAATTTTGGTAAATGTTGTATATATATATATATGTATATGTTAATCATATATCGTGTTGAATGTTAATCGTTAGTTGTTGTAAAACAATATGGTTGCTACCTTAAACTAGCCATATACATACACTTGTATAAAAAACATTTCCCTTAACATAAATTCCTATGAGCATTGAAAACATTTTTTTTTTTAATTATTCTAAAAAAACAACAACAGCAAAATCAACACAAATATACCAACACACAGAAACGAATTCACCAAATCGAAAATATATGTAAATTTGAATTCAACCAAAAAAAAAAATTTACAAATCTGTATGAAAGCACCAATTGTGTGACACCGCTTAAAAATGAGACCCCATAAAACTGGGCATTTTACTCTTATTCTCTATAAATAATATCTCATGTGTTCTAACATCACTACTCTCCCAACTATATAGTAGTCATAAGTGCTGTTAAGTGGGAATTGCTTAGTTTTCCCATTCATGTATGCATTATCGTCCCTATATAATCACTAAATATTTAGTATTGTAAATAATATATTATTGAATAACATACATGCATAAGTATCTTTATAAATGTTCATCGTTATCCCCATTAATTCATCACATTAACTAATCAGAAATATGTACCCATAAAATTTTGATCGTACTACGACCTAAAATATTGGTATATTCATAGCAAGGGTTAAAATTTGCCACTCTTTCCAAATCATAAGGACATTTATTATTTATTATTATAGACTAGTTTTGAAAACTTCCTAGTATTTAGTCATAATTTTTAACATTAGGGCAATTCCGGCAAAACCGGTTAATTTATCGATGCAAACGAGAATACGGTCGGTTATGACCATTTAAATAATCAATATCAGGTTTAATCTTCTGCTATTTCTAGCGTAAGGCTATACAAAATGCCTGACCTGCCTACGGCCCCCTTTCGCTACTGCGTTCCGGTCCCAAGAGAAAAAAGGCTGAGTCTTATCATGCCAGTTCGTCAACGAACTCGTTCCCTTCGATGTCGCAGTAACTTGGTACCTGGTACCTGTTACCAAGCACAAGTTTGAGTTGCCAATCCTATTGGATAGGGCCAATTGACTCTCTGAAAAGATAACTAAGGAAGCGTTTTTTAAAACCATTTTCAAGTCTAACTGTGGCACAGGTCCGGGTTGCCAAAACCATTTCTTAAAATTTAAGACCTTTTACTCGATTAGTTCAATGAAATTTAAGTAAAAGGTCTAAAATTTTAAGAAAAAATAGTCAACCTTTGAAGTTTATTTAAGCGTTGCATAGCAGTCGGTTGTACGGATGAAACCAACGGGAAATGTTATATCGGTCAAAAACAAGTTATACGTATCCCGGCGTTTCGCTGGGTCACGTCTAGGAATCGAGATATATATATAACTATCATATAGGGAAAATTGTCACCTTTGGTGGTCTTTTTTTAACATAACTCGAGAACCACTAGTCCGATTTTGCTCAAACAAATTTAAAAAAATAAAAAATTACAATTCCTTTAATCTGTTCATATAACGTTTTTCTATATAACGTTATTTGTTTTAGTACACACAAATAAGTCTCAGTCTAAGCTACGAAGGCGTAGGCGACAATCGGATCATATTGTATATAAACTCAATTAGCTTTGTGCTCAAACCCAAAAAAAAATGTATTACGCCATATGACTTCTCCAGGTTATATCCTCCGGGGTGGCCTCGAGGCCCCCGAATTCTCTAAAACTTTTAATTGTAAAAATGTCTATGACATACCTTTAAGCTTGCCAGTTTTTCGAGTTTAAGGAAATCACTTAATTGAATTCATGATTTTCAATTATCCACGATTTGAGTCAATTCAGTATTCGAATGACATTGAACAAATCCAAAAAACAAAACTCGTTTCTAAAGCTTCGATTAAACGATCTTCGATTTAGTAGTTCCAAAACCAGTTGATTAAACTCTGCTATGAATATACCAAGAATTTAAACTATTTAAAATTTCAGTTCCCCTTAGCTATGTACCTACAATAAACCCCTTAGATAACTTTTCGTTGTATTTACATATAGCGATCTAAAATAAACATTTATTACATCAAAACTTTTCCTACTCAAACACTCTAAACTTCTTCGCTTGATGTTTTTTTTTTTCTTTCAATTCTAATTAATTCTTACAACTAAACATTTCTCCCATACTGCTATCAAACTTTTAAATACTAGCCAATATTTACACTTATCCTTTTTCATTTGATTTTCCATAAAAACTGTATTCAATTTAAAATTAAAAATCCCAAAAACCCCCAAACTAAGATGCTTTTCTAAAAATCAAATTTCATAGAAGAGAAATACAAAATTGGATTGGTTTTGTTGAACCCTATCAAACAAATGAACTACAAAATTATAGCATATGGAATCATAAATCATACATTTCATGATATTGCATATTCGTACTTTTGAATTAAGCGTACGTATGTTGGTATATTTATGATAAATTTTCATAAATTTTCTTATTTAATTAAAATGTATTGCTTTGCAGAAAAATGTATCTAAACGTAAGGTATCTACTACATAGCATATTGGTAGTATTCCGAAGTAAATCTAAACTTTGAACACCTTTAATTAGTTCACATAAAATAATGTGTTGCACCAACCTTAATTATTTTAAGCTCGTTCGTTGGCTCGTTGGTTCGTTCTATTTTTCCCTTTTTTTACTCTGGCACTACCAACCCAAAAAAAAAACAAATCACGTAAGTCAGATTTTGTGCGTTTGTTTGACTGTATGCAATGCAAAGAAGTACCTGCCTAAAAATACTACTAATCAAAAATTTACGCTCTCTTGCCAAAACTACAGTTGAATATAGGCGAGCGATAGATAAAAAGACAAAAAAAACAAACAGAAGTAAAGTAAGAAATTATCGAAAATTCAAATTTAAACGACATTGGTTGAAAGTCAGTCGGTAAAAGCATCTTCAGTGCCCCCAATATTGAGTTTGCCATATCATATATTAATTCTAGACGATGTAGTTTACAATCAGACCATGGGACCTGGCGCCACCTTGGATAAACGACGACCCGATTTACGCGACGAACTCGGCTATATTGCACCACCCAATCGCAAGCTGCCACCAGTGCCCGGCTCGAATTACAACACCTGCGACCGGATTAAGCGAGGTACAGTGATAAGTAAGCATCTAAATTTACAATATACAACATTTATTAATGCGAGCAAATATCCTCTTGTTCTTCCAAGATTTTTTTGGGTTTGTTTGTTTTTTGCGTAATGAAAAGGTCGTATATTTTTTTGCCTTTCTGCTTTATTTTGTTGGTTTATTGGCTATTAATTTACGCTTTGCGCCATATGCATACCCAATGCTATTAAAAAAGGACAGAATGCAAAAGAAAAATAAAACTGAAGTAACGAATTAATTGTTAATAAGTTAGCGTTATTTTAGAATTTCGTTTTAGAAATTTCTAAATGTACATTTCGTTTACTTTGTACGCACTTCTGGTACAATACTTTTTTACGGTGTAGCATATCTAGCTAAACTTTGACAAATTTTCATACATATACATAAAAAGTTTCGTAATGTCCTTTTGGTAGAATTTTTTGTATCTTTTGCATGCTTCATAAATGTTGTAGTAAATTTAGATAATAGCTTTAAGTAATAGCTTATGCTTTTATTATGAGTGAAAGAAAATTTAAGGCGAAGTATCTTAAGTATCCGCCAATTAAAAAAAAGAAAACAGTAAAACTTCCCTAACACGAACCTGTATTGGTCCCCACAAAAAAGTTCTACAGCGCCAACTTGCAGCTATAATCGACATCACCGAAACGGTTGATAACACGATTGCCGGGCAAAAGATCGATTGTGGCATAGGCTGTGCGGCATGGTGCGCCATCCTGCTGATATCAAAGTTCGCCCAAGTCCATGTCTTCAATTTCTGCCCGCAAAAAATCGATTATCATGGCTCTGTAGTACTCATCCTTGACCGAAATGGCGTTTCCAGCAGTCACCCTCTGAGGATGCATTGGCTTCTCGACGGTCACTTGTGTAAATGCGGCCTCTCAGAAAATATGATTTTTCGAGCAAAATCGTTGTCCAATCCATTTGCATTAATTCCCAATATTGTTCTATGGTAAAGCGATTAATTTCGTTCCGCGGGGAAATGGTACTGACTTCCTGTCCAGTCCTGTCCATATGATATAAAAAAAGCTATATTGTAGATTGCCTGTTTAACTTTAACGTAAAGCAATCACTTCGAAATAATTAAAATTTTCTACCGAAATTCCGAGTCGGTGACTGTAACCTTAGGAGCATTTACGAGAATTGTTTTTTCGTAATTACCATGCCAGTAGAAAAGCTATTCTTATTCTAGTGACATATTCAATTTAAAATTAAAAATCCCAAAAACCCCCAAACTAAGATGCTTTTCTAAAAATCAAATTTCATAGAAGAGAAATATAAAATTGGATTGGTTTTGTTGAACCCTATCAAACAAATGAACTACAAAATTATAGCATATGGAATCATAAATCATACATTTCATGATATTGCATATTCGTACTTTTGAATTAAGCGTACGTATGTTGGTATATTTATGATAAATTTTCATAAATTTTCTTATTTAATTAAAATGTATTGCTTTGCAGAAAAATGTATCTAAACGTAAGGTATCTACTACATAGCATATTGGTAGTATTCCGAAGTAAATCTAAACTTTGAACACCTTTAATTAGTTCACATAAAATAATGTGTTGCACCAACCTTAATTATTTTAAGCTCGTTCGTTGGCTCGTTGGTTCGTTCTATTTTTCCCTTTTTTTACTCTGGCACTACCAACCCAAAAAAAAAACAAATCACGTAAGTCAGATTTTGTGCGTTTGTTTGACTGTATGCAATGCAAAGAAGTACCTGCCTAAAAATACTACTAATCAAAAATTTACGCTCTCTTGCCAAAACTACAGTTGAATATAGGCGAGCGATAGATAAAAAGACAAAAAAAACAAACAGAAGTAAAGTAAGAAATTATCGAAAATTCAAATTTAAACGACATTGGTTGAAAGTCAGTCGGTAAAAGCATCTTCAGTGCCCCCAATATTGAGTTTGCCATATCATATATTAATTCTAGACGATGTAGTTTACAATCAGACCATGGGACCTGGCGCCACCTTGGATAAACGACGACCCGATTTACGCGACGAACTCGGCTATATTGCACCACCCAATCGCAAGCTGCCACCAGTGCCCGGCTCGAATTACAACACCTGCGACCGGATTAAGCGAGGTACAGTGATAAGTAAGCATCTAAATTTACAATATACAACATTTATTAATGCGAGCAAATATCCTCTTGTTCTTCCAAGTTTTTTTTTTTGGGTTTGTTTGTTTTTTGCGTAATGAAAAGGTCGTATATTTTTTTGGCTTTCTGCTTTATTTTGTTGGTTTATTGGCTATTCATTTACGCTTTGCGCCATATGCATACCCAATGCTATTAAAAAAGGACAGAATGCAAAAGAAAAATAAAACTGAAGTAACGAATTAATTGTTAATAAGTTAGCGTTATTTTAGAATTTCGTTTTAGAAATTTCTAAATGTACATTTCGTTTACTTTGTACGCACTTCTGGTACAATACTTTTTTACGGTGTAGCATATCTAGCTAAACTTTGACAAATTTTCATACATATACATAAAAAGTTTCGTAATGTCCTTTTGGTAGAATTTTTTGTATCTTTTGCATGCTTCATAAATGTTGTAGTAAATTTAGATAATAGCTTTAAGTAATAGCTTATGCTTTTATTATGAGTGAAAGAAAATTTAAGGCGAAGTATCTTAAGTATCCGCCAATTAAAAAAAAGAAAACAGTAAAACTTCCCTAACACGAACCTGTATTGGTCCCCACAAAAAAGTTCTACAGCGCCAACTTGCAGCTATAATCGACATCACCGAAACGGTTGATAACACGATTGCCGGGCAAAAGATCGATTGTGGCATAGGCTGTGCGGCATGGTGCGCCATCCTGCTGATATCAAAGTTCGCCCAAGTCCATGTCTTCAATTTCTGCCCGCAAAAAATCGATTATCATGGCTCTGTAGTACTCATCGTTGACCGAAATGGCGTTTCCAGCAGTATTTTCAAGGAAAAATGAGCCAATGATGTCACCGCTCCAAAATTCGCACCAAACAGTCACCCTCTGTGGATGCATTGGCTTCTCGACGGTCACGTGTGTAAATGCGGCCTCTCAGAAAATATGATTTTTCGAGCAAAATCGTTGTCCAATCCATTTGCATTAATTCCC